TTAGACATTTTGGTTTATGTATTAAAACTTCCCACAAATTTGATTGAGAATGAGCCTTTGATGGATATTTGCTGCAGTTATGCTGCATTAGACTCGATTTATCCACCACCTCTCATTGTTGCTATTGATTGATTTTTAAATTAGATGAAGGCAATCAGTAAATACCACCCAATCAAGTCCTAAAAACATACAGGAGATTAGACAATTTAGGGTAATCAATGAAAATATTCTGTGATTTGCTACCACTCAATTTTGACCATAAATTACAACCATAACTTGCAAGTTAGTAAGCCATAAAACAAGTGGATGTGACAAGAAAAACTATAAGAAATGAATTAAGGAGATGAAGAGGAACCACTAGTGTTGTCGTTTAATGAGACAAAATTACTCTTTATACATATCTTGCATTTCTAGTCAAGTCTTGTCAACAGTAATGGACTACAAGGAGTGCCTGCTATGCTGATTTTTTTATATAATATAAAGGCTTTTCTTTTGTTTAACAAATGAGTTTGAACAATAACTAATCAGCCTAATTTTGTTGCGGCAAATAAATTAATGTAATTTTAGGTTCAAAACCCACTGCTTGTTAAAAACCCTCACCTACATCACAGGCACTTTCAAATGCTAATTTTAAAGTCACACTTCTGCACTGTGTTATTTCCTACAAAGTCTAAAATGTAACAACAATTGAAAGTTATTTTAGACCAACACTTCATATTCCTCAGAACCTGTATTTCTCCACTCTCCGATACAGTTCACCCATCCTTCCCTGTTTTAATGCCATTGCTTTCTTCTGATAAAGGTATTTCTTCTAACATGCCTTTAAAATCCCTTTATGATTTGCAGTGAAGGAGTTAGACCTTGGGGTGTTCAATTTTTTTTCTACTTCTGAAACATAAATCCAGCTTTACCGTATGTTTTCTGTCAATTTCACTCTGTTTTTCTGAATCTCAAAGGCCTCTTAGAAACACATGAGAATAATTAACCCAATAGCTATAGTATCTTATTAAAATAAATTTCTGAAAGAAAGCTGACAAAATGTGTCAGACACTTCAAAGCAGAGATTTCTTTGCATACTTCCCACTATTTGTTGCTGTTCTGCTAGAATTAGCATCCTCTAAAAGCCTTCTGATTAAGGTTCGGAGGATTTCTTCAGGTATAAAAAGTAGCATTTAATACAGATACACAGAATCATTCTGCTCTTTTCATTAAAAAGAACAACACTGGCAAAATCTTCTGTAAACATGAAAGTTTCGGGACCTTTTTTTCTTATTTACGTATTCCACTAGACATAGAAAATAGAGAGGCCTGTTCAGTGCACGTGAATCACTCCCTGTAATGCTGATTAAAATTAAACATAGTGAAAGCGCTGTAGGGAGAATGAAAGACCCTTAACTTTAACCATCTAAATGTACTCACACTTGCCAAAATGAGATCCTGTGGAAAGTTACATTGCGAAACTTGATGGCAAAGAGTTTCCTTTGCTAAAGGCATATTGTTAAAATGTACAGATGTTAAAACAAATGGTTAAAACACATGGATTTACATTTGCCATGGTTTGCTATATATTCAATATAAATAGATTTCATGTCCCGTTTCCAGAGGAAAAAAAAGCCAAACAATTGCAAGAGAGCACTGGGAGATTAGTGGTTGTTAAAACAAAACAGGTGTCTCTGGTGGACTCTAATAGAGAGACACCTAGGATTAGAACACCTACTTGCAGTACTGACCCACACTGTCAGAACTGTGGATGGGGGAAGTTTTCAAAGAGTTTCCCTCAGTAGGCTAACAGGTTACTGTTCTTAATTTATTAATTTTTCTAAATGACTCGTCTTTCACGCAAGTGTCTTAAAATGAGGACCACGTCTCCATTCAACCCGTAATTGTTTCTGAGGCTACTGAGCAGCGTCGATCCAATAGCTTCCTGGGTTCTTCAGTAATGTGAAAGCTACTTCCTTTTTGAGGGGATGCTTCCTCCTTAGAGGTAGCCACATAATGGTGATTTGAGCCCAGCCTTGTGCTGTACTGGAGGTGGAGTCATTTTGACACCACTCTGTCCATCTGGCATATGACCTTCAAGAGAAGAAACTCAGTACATCCCTAGTGTAATAGGAAGGGCAGCCTCCCCTTTACCCTGGTCTGGCTGGGAAATAAAGGAAAAAGACAATTGGCTTGGATTCTTTCCCTAATCTTTTGCTCCTATAGGCTACATGGCATTACTGAGGGGGAGAGGGTTAGTAGTTGTAGGGAGTGGGAGACAACATCCCTTGAGCAGTTCCACAGTTCTAGAGCATTGAGCTTGCATTTTTTCATATTGCTCTTATGCAGATGTCACTCGTCTTCAGAGGTCAGGCAACAGCTAATATATGTGTGACCTACTGGTCAGTGTGTGTTGCGCTTCCCTCTCTGGGCCTGAGCCACAGACTAGTGTTAGCCAGGAAGTGTACACTGGACACTTACAGGTAAATCCAGGACTAAATTTGTCTTATTTCTTCTGCTCTTGAAATGGCTTCTTGAAGGGGAGGTAAAACTTGGCAGGATGTGATACAAGCTTCCTCTCCCCTGTCCTTCCTCTCCCCCTTCTTCCCCCTGCAAAAAAAAACAAACAAAAAACCCTTTTCACCTCTCTTTAATTATAAATATTTTTTTAAATTCTGAAAGGCTACCTTCAGGTTCTTTCTGGCTGAGATGAAAAGCCCTGGAAATCTGATGAGAAAACAACGACGTATCCAGCTCAGTTTTGCAAGCAAAAGGTTGAAACAGTTCAGAATTTGGATGAACTTTGGGTGACCATTCACATTTTTGGATACTTACTTGAATTCCAATTCTCACTACCCAGTATTAGTTCTTAACAATGCCGCTAGTTAATGATCTCAAACACAGACCAATTTTGTATCGAGATCAAAATCATGTCTCATGGAGAAAAGCCCTCTAGAAACCTTAGGAAGGAGTGATGAGCTAACTTCTATTTTAATAAATGGGGGGAGGGGAATCCCTTACTTATAACAAAGATGGGGACATACTTTGGTGTTCCTGATGGACTGGTACAATACAGTGATGCTGGTACATTTAATACACTTTTTAGAATAATTGCCTAGGAGGTAACCAGAAGTAGTACATTTTACTTTATCATGGTACATAAATAAAAGGGCAGACTAATTAATCATATAACTTACTAAAAGTGCTTTTTATTTTGCCATTTAGTATGCCAGAAAGATCATTTTCTTTAATGTATATACCCAGTATTAACATGATTTAATCCATCATGCTCTGTATTATGAAATTACTTTGTTTTACTCCCTGATCCAGCTGAAGATCATTAACCCGCACTATTATCTAAGTCATACATCATTCGAGTGTATTACCTCATATAGCAAAAAAGCTACTTTCCTCGGTTACACGCTCTGACTAAGAAATCATTTTTTCTAGATGTTGCTGACAAGTAGGGCTGTTTTCATTAGAAAGCAAATGGTTCACCATTCGGAGTAACTGCTTTACCTTCACAGTTCCTATAGTTCTGACTGCTTAGCTGCCACTTAAATCATCCTTTCACTTTTTTAACATTTAAATTCTATATTCTAAGCCTATCCCTACAGTGTATTGCATTATCTTCTTCCTAGGCACACACACACATAATACATAGGATGAATGCATTAGTAAGTTTGCCTCTGAAATGTGTTGGCACAGAATCTAAACAGCTATACAGTAGCTTAAACTCTCACAATTTTGTGGGTTCAAAAGAGTTTAGGCACCCAAATTCTAGGTTCTGCGCAAAAAGTAGAGTCAAATTCCACCCTCTGACACTGATGGTGAATCTGCAGGGAACTGATTATCAATGAAGTTACACAAGGGTAAACGTACCTCAGTTAGGGTTGCCAACTTTCTACTCGCACAAAACCAAACACTTGTGCCCCGCCCCTTCTCTGAGGGCCCCTCCCCTTGCTCACTCCATCCCCCTGCCCTCTGTCACTTGTTCTCCCCACCCTCACTCACTGGCTCATTTTCACTGGGCTGGCTTAGGGGGCTGCGGTGTGGGAGGGGGTGCAGGCTCTGGGATGGGACAGAAATGAGGAGTTCACAGTGCAGGAGAGGGCTCTAGGTTGAGGCGGTGGATTGGGATGCAAGAGGGGGTGAGGACTTTGGCTGGGGATACAGACTCTGGGGTGGTGCAGGGGGTGAGGGGTTTGGGGTACAGGAGGGGACTCCGGGCTAGGACCGAGGTATTTGGAGGGTGGGAGAGGGATCAGGACTGGGGCAGGGGGTTGGGGCATGGGAGGGGGGGGGCTCAGGGATGCAGGCTCCGGGCAGTGCTTACCTCAAGGAACTCCCAGAAGCAGCAGCATGTCCCCCCTCTGGCTCCTATGCGGAGGCGCAGCCAGGCGGCTCTGCGCACTGACCCATCCGCAGGCGCCGCCCCTGCAGCTCCCATTGGCCATGGAAGCTGCGGTGGGGCACTGGGGCAGGGGCAGCGTGCTCAGCCCCCTGGCTGCCCCTACGTGTAGGAGCCAGAGGGGGGAAATGCTGGCTGCTTCCCAGGAGCCCCATGGCACGGAGGCTAGCAGGGAGCCTGCTAGCCCCGTGGCGCTGCCAACTGGACAGTCAACGGCCCAGTCTGACCGGAGCCGCCACAATCCCTTTTTGACCGGGTTTTTCGATCAAAAAACGGACACCTGGTCACCCTAGTCCCAGTGGGGCTTCAGGGCAGAATTTGGCCTCTGTTAATTTGGTGGCGGTGGCGGCTGCTGATTGTTATTGTTAGATCTATGTTACACATAGCACCACTGCTGAAATTAAAAATAAGTTAGTAGCAGTCTACTTGTACTGCTCTGATGTGGCTAAATACTATCAGGCTCTAATAAACAGTAACCATGTCGTGTGTGTGTGCGCATGACGCTCATTGCTGGCAAATGTTGCTCAGTCACTGACATACATTATTGGGTGCTATTTGTTGATGACACCACTTTTGTTCATTTTTTAATTTTCTTTTTCTTTTTTTTTAGTGGTGGCGTAAAAAAGCAAAACACCTCTCGTAAGTGAATGACAGCTTATAACAGGGGTGAGTTAGCTGGGAGAATTTTAGGTTTGGCCTTTGTTAAATTAACCCGGATACAAACAGCCCTTCATGAGATAAACATTTACATGAGATTTCTGGAAGCTCTGTTCTCATAGTATAGAATATCAGCAGAGTCACTCAATTGAATGGTTTTCTTGAAAACTGCTGCAGTCCACTCATTTTCTGTGTTCAAACTTTTTTTGCATCCTGTTACTCGAGTGTCGTCAGGCTGCTGCTGTACAACTTTGTAAACTGAAATAAATAATGTTCCCTTTTAATATTTTTAAACATGCATTAAACATGAGCGGAAAAGGTGTTGGTTATAAAATTGCTTTGGGGAAATTATATTTGTTATGGTAACAAAGATAACAAAGCAAAAACATATGCAGCTTCTGATATCATGAGGATGGATAAAGGGATTTGTTCTCATTCTCTAGTAGTTTGTAAACAGCAGAAAATTATCCACTTCCAAAATGCTAAATCTTTTAGGGCCATGCAACAGGATAGCAAACTCAAAACCCAGTATAGAAACGTAGGGCTTGTCTGTTGAGTCATTGTAGATGCTAAAAACCTGCATTAAAAACCTCCGGATAGTTCCTGTTGAGTCATGCTGGCACATGGATCCAGTTAAGGTCCATTTGGTTTTTTGAGTTACTAATAAGGCCAATCTCAGGAACAGAGGCTGGACATTAACTTGGGATGCATGTGCTCTATTGAGCATAGAATAGGGACTCAACCCATTTATAGGCCTGTAGTGAGTATCCAAATGAAAATGTTTGTCATAAACAAAAAGTTCTGTGCCTGGGCATTGTGATTTCTAACTTGATTAAAATCTTTTTTTAATTCACTTTAGATACAGGAGTGAGTATTTAGTCACATCCTTTGCTGCAGATAGAAGTGACAAATCTTGGGAAATTGGCTACTACTACTTACAACTCTGCAGTATCCAAGCAGTTTCAGGTAATTTCGGTTTCTTTCTGTGTGAGGTTTTGTTTTTGTTTTGTTTTTTGGGAGAGGGGAGATGTCTGAGAAGGAGAAGGAGGTGTGTTTTGTTTATTTTAAACTGTAATTCTTCTAAAAACTTGCCATCTTCTCACTCTCAGGAATGATCTTAGAATTTAGAATTAATGTCGTAGGGTGCTAAAGCTGACAAATGTTTGAAAAGAGAAAAGGTTTTTCAATGAACAATGATGGGAAGATTCGAATTAAGGGAAAGCTTTGGAGAATTTAGGGTAAGTAATAGATGCTTGATTAAGAAATAGACTCAGGCACTTCAGGATGTAATCTTCTCACAAAAGACACCTTTGCATTTGAGGGTCATTGGAAAACCTGATCATCCCTTTCCTAAAAAGCAGAGAAATATATAGCAAGTGCTATTTTACTGAGGGAAAAAAAGGGCTTTGGGTTCCATAGAATGGTGAAATGTGTGTCAGTCTTCTCTTTGCCTTGACAGTGTATTCTACAGTGAAGTCCTTTTCGGCTCACAACAGCCAAGAAAGGGTTGTAAAGAAAAAAAGATACGCTCTAATCCCGGAGAATCCATTTGGGGCAGGAGATATTTAAAATAACACAACAGCAAATCAGGTTTTATCACTTGTCATGACTTGCCTTTTACAAACAAAACCATAATCAAGTAACTTTTACTTATAAACTGAGAATCTAATTTATAGCAAAAACAAAACTCAGTCGGCTCTAGGGAACAAAAGCAGATTCTTGAACATAATTCACACACCCTGCAATTTGGCAGGATAGAGATAGATAATTGCTCTATTGGTTTTGATTTTATACCTTGGTTCCGTTTTTGGATACCAAGATGATAGGTGCCTGTTATTCCTATTTGTCTCTTGTATTTATAATATCAATTAGAGGATTCAGGCATTGTGGACTTGTTTTCTCAAGACTTTTGTACCTTGAGTTAATTGACTGCCTGTTAATTCAAGGTGCTTAACGTGTTTTAAAAGCTAGTGTGGACATCCTCAAGGTACAGAAATCTACTGAAGACAAATCTATAAGGGCCTGACCCAAAACCCATGGAAGTCAAAGCAAGTCTTCTATTGACTTCAGTGGGCTTTGGGTGCTCTATAGATGAGGGAGGGGGGAAGTCAGAGACCTTCACTAAACTAATATTGTCAGAAACCTGCACTAATCTAATATCATTGTATTTCAAGGAAATATAAAATATCCTATGAGTCACCATATAAATAGAGTGACACTCTCCTAGGTGTCCTATATATGATATCAATTGTGTGGGTTGTAAAGAGATATGCTATAAGAACGTTGCATGACTGCTGTCCTGCTGGAACAATCACATATGTGAAGTGTGTGTCTCAAACATTTTCTCCCCCTAGTAAGAAAAACTGTAATTCAATAATATACTGGTAAAATTCCTTTACCTTTCATCATAATGTGAAACAAACTAATCACTTTCACTCTAACCTGGAAGATTTCTTCTGCCTGAGAAGGCCTAGATTTCTGAAGTAAAATAATAAAAAATACATTTTCAGTGCAATTTTGTTATTTTTATACTCAATACCTGAAGGCCTCTGAGATCCTCAACATAGTATGCAGGGGGAACTGAATTACACAACGTTTTTTTAAGACAGTGGTTCTCAACCAGGGGCCCGGGGCCACGAGCAGGCTTCAGGGGGTCTGCCAAGCAGGGTCAGTGTTAGACTTGCTGTGGCCCAGGGCAGAAAGCCAAAGCCCCATTGTGTAGGGTTGAAGCCTGGGACCCTAAGCCCTGCCACCTGGGGCTGAAGCCAAATCCTGGGCAACTTAGCTTCACGGGGCCCTGCTTGCTACCCTCTCACTCTGGCCCTGGCTTTTATATGCAGAAAAATAGTCATGGCACTGGTGGGCCGTGGAGTTTTTCTAGCAGATTGTGATGGGAGGGCTCAGAAAGAAAAAGGTGGAGAACCCCTGGTTCAAAACACAGATGTTCTAACCAAATATATATTGCACTCTGTTCATTGAATGTGACACAAAAGAATAATTTGGTTGCATCTATCTGGAACTAGTTCAAAGGAGGTCGCCTCTATTTTGACAGCTGAATAGAAACTACTGATCCCTTGAGCCATTTAGAGTTGATTCGTAAGTGTAACCTGGGTATATCTTGGAAATGTGGCTTAGCACTTTTTTATGTTGCAAAAAAATATGGACCTTCAAAAAGCAGCTACATTTTTCCCTGTGTCAGAGATAATGCATGTATCCAACTGCCTGCAAGCTGTCATCTCTAAACATCTACCTTGAAAAGTAAACTTCCTTAGTAATAATTAAGTCAATTATTTTCTCCCAGAATTGCCTTTGTAAGAAACTACTTACAGTAGATGAAATCACTGAACCTAATTCACCCTGTATTACCCCACTTCTGCACTGGTGTAACTCTGTTGATTTTACTGGCTTTACACTGGGATAGAATTGCAGCATTGCAGTAGTCAGTTTAGACCTACATTGTTCCCTATTACCATCTCCAGGTCCACTCTAAACTTAGTTTTTCTTATTGGAATATGACAGTTTGATTTCTGATTAGCATCACCTCCCCCCCAACTCGCATTAAATTTGCCATTTGTTCATAGCGAGCTATATTTGTCACTGTATTGTTCTTCAATGATGGCCACTCACTCCGAGCAGTACTATCCTACTTGACATGAATAAGTGTGGCTGAACTGAACCCTGAAGAAATAGAGAGTTTAGTTAATTTTACCTAAGGAGATACTGTCCACAAAGATCTAATGTTCATCATCTGTGAAAAGTGGTTTAATCACTGATCTCAAAAGACTAGCAATGTCCTCCCCATGTGCACAGTTTACAATGAAATTGTAGAGAACAAGAAGCCTGAATAAAGAGTTGGAATTAATGTGCTTACAAAATTCAAAGAAAAGATAATAGATTTGGTTTGGGTCCAAACATCGTCAGCTAGATGAACACCAAGGACAATGTTTAGTTGTAGATTAATAATCCAAGGTACAAAAAGTTCTGAACAAATTGGGGGAAAACTTAAAGCCACAATATTAAGCAAACCAGAGGCTGAAGGTCAGACGGCAGTTACAAATCATTCTCAGTTACATGATTTTAAATGATGACACAATACTTAAACTATTGACCTTTGTAACACAAATATGCCTGAATATTATACATGGTGAGCAATTATGCAATTGACTGTATAAAGACAAATGTAAAAATCAACTAAAGTCCTTTAAATCTTGCTGGCTCTTAATCAAATGTAGCCCCAGCATCCAACCCAAGTGCACCTCTGTAAAGGACAGATGTAATTTAACTGAGCAAAAATAGGGGGAAGGGGGAGAGGTTCCTGCCAGCAGTTGGCCACTGGAAGTCTGAGGGACGATGCACAGAGAAGACTGTACTTGGTGAAATATTTGGGTCAAATGCCGCCACTCCTCACCAGATTCATTAGACCCACTGGCCATGGGGCACTATGCCTTAGACCAGTGGTTTTCAACCTTTTTTCATTTGCAGACCCCCAAAAAGTTTCAAATGAAGGTGTGGACCCCTTTAGAAATCTTAGACATGGTTTGTGGACCCCCAGGGGTCTGCGGACCAGAGGTTAAAAACCACTGCCTTATACAACTGTGTAATAATGCCTCAGCAGTGCAGCTCCAAATATATATAGCGATGCTTCTCAAGCATTTAGGTTCTAGAGGTGAGAAATGCTAATGGGACTGATTGTCCTCTCATGCTAGTTTAAATTGGGAATTGAAGTCAGTGGAATCAGACCAGTGCAAAGATGGTGTGAGGGGAGGATTGAGGCTAATGATTTCTGCCCTATACTCAAGCTCTCTTTTGGGGACATATCTTTCAAATGAGGTGAATGAGGAAAACAACAAAGATGTTAAATGATGCATAGTAAGAACAGATGCCGGTCTGTATTCTCTTACGTCGCTGGTCCAGATCCTCAGCTGTGCCAGGGCTCTGCTCAGCACTGCTGAGGGGGAGCACTGGTGGCTAAATGCCATCTTTATGCTACTGTAAAATTGTGGTTGCTGGGGGCTGGTTTGGCTACTGGTGAAATTTAAAGCACTCTCAGGGATAGCTCTAAATTTTAATATCTGGAGATATACCTATCTCCTAGAACTGGAAGGGACCCTGAAAGGTCATTGAGTCCAGTCCCCTGCCTTCACTAGCAGGACCAAGTACTGATTTTTGCCCCAGATCCTTAAGTGGCCCCCTCAAGGATTGAGCTTATAACCCTGGCTTTAGCAGGCCAATTCTTAAACCACTGAGCTATCCCTTCGCCCCAGGTTGCAAATTCTCTCTAGGGCCTGTTATGCCAACTAGAGATTGCTGGAGTTTAAGGCCGGAAGGGATCACCAGATCATTTAATCTGACCTATTGGCTATCACAGGCTGCCAGCACCACCAAGCCTCCTGCATACTAAACCCAACAACCGGAATTGGATCAAAGTATTACAGCCCTTGGGAGACTAAACGATCATGTTCTAGCATGAGCTGGTAGTTAAAAAACACAACCTACTTTGTTTTTCTTAAAATATTGATTGTATACTTTTGGTTTTTAACAACTGTGGGCTAAATGGAGATACAACTTCCATTAACTTCTACTGGACTAGAATTTGGTCCCACATGAATAACTATCAGCAGTAAGTGGGCAACTGTTAGCATAAATAAATAATATGCTATTATAGTATTACACCTAACAAGTTAAAAGAGAAAGTACATCAGATTTCATATATATTCGTGTGTGTGCGTGCATGCACATAACATGTATATACCCAAATTATCATCCCATGCTCTGTGGGAACAAGAGGCATGCAAGCTCTTGAAACAGTTTTAGAACCTTTTTAGAAAACATAAAGCAATGCGATTTTAAAAAATGGGTAGCAGTAAGTTCGTTAAACAAAAGTGTCTAGTTTAAATTTGTCAACATTTTGCTGCTTGCAAAGATGTTTTGCCTTCTAGTTCCAAAGAACAAATGACCTTTGCAAAT